AAAAAAAAAAACTCTCCATTTCTCGCGAGATTAGAGACCAGGAAGACGCCTGCAGAGCTGGGCTGCTGGTGCAGCGGCCGCTGAGGCAGCCGGTGCTGCTGCGTCCGGACCTGCCTCCGGGCCTACGCCTGGTTTCCGCGTGGGGAGGCGGGACGTGGCCAGGCCCGGGCCGTGGTGGTGTGCAGTGCCCGCTGAGGCTGAGGGGAAATTCAGGTTGCGGCCTGTCAGAGCCGGTCAGGGAGGTGCCCACTCGCCTGACAGGATAAGATGGCGGCGATGGTGCCTGGAGGTAGTGGCAGTGGTGGTGGCGGCGGCGTGAATCCATTCCTCAGTGATACTGACGATGACGAGGACGAGGTAGCGACGACCGAGGAGCGGCGAGCAGGACTTCGGCTGGGTTCCGGGGGCGACCTAGATCCTGGCTCTGCGGACTCGCTATCGCCCCAGGATCCCGTGGCCTTAGGGAGCAGTGCACGGCCAGGGCTCCCTGGGGAGGTGGCGGCTGTGGTGGGACTGGGGGGCAGTGGGGAGAACCCGGCCCGGTTGTCAATTGATGCGATCGCGGCTCAGCTGTTGCGCGATCAATACTTGCTGACCGCCCTGGAGCTGCACACCGAGCTGTTGGAGAGCGGCCGCGAGCTGCCTCGGCTGCGCGACTACTTCTCCAATCCGGGCAACTTCGAGAGGCAGAGTGGGACCCCCCCGGGGATGGGGATGCCGGGGATCCCTGGAGCAGTCGGCGTTGGAGGCGCAGGAGGTCGGGAGCCGAGCATGACGTCGGGCGGGGGACAGCTCAGTAAGTGAACGCAGCCTGTCTCACCCGCAGGGTTGTCAGGGTTTTGGGGGAGGGTGTTTCAGGGCGGGTACCGAGTGTTATGAACATTTTAGACAGACAGTTGCAGGGGATGGGGGTCTTCGGCGGTGGCAGCCGAAGGATCTGGCTGCTCCTGCCTCCATCCCGTGGCTGAACTTGCACTGGCGCCTGGCTCCCCTGTTTGTGTCGGTATCTATAAAAATTTCCAACGTTTCTAGTTCACTGGCAATTACGGGACTCCAGACGGCTCCCTTGCAAACTGGCCTATCGCTTTAATCATTTTTCCCTGTTCTCCAATTTCCTGAATCGCCATTACCAAGAAATAATGTTTCTTACACTGTTCGCGGTAATTCGACTGGAAGTCAAGAGAGAGAAAAGAATAGGAAATATTGCTGCTCTGCCCTCCACTAAAGACCCTTTGTCGTTGGGATGACTTCCTCACTAAAAAAAAGGGTAGAGGTTTCAACTGCATAAACTATGCCCTCTTTAAATATAGACAATTTAATTCAATTTCAATACCTTAATTTCAGTAGTTTCCAAAATTACAGGAAATCTAAGGAGCAGGGTAGGCAAGTTCTTCCTGCAGTGTATCTCATGGTCCCACCGCACTGAAGCCCTTTTATTCTGCATAAGTTAGAAATATACTTTTTTTACCTTGTTTAAATCATTTTTAGCAGCACAGAATAATCATTTACCCCATTCATCATATACTGTATTTTTAATTGTAATTACTGGGGTTAATAAAAGTATATAGATTTCAGGGGTATATTTCTATAATATTGTGTGTTCACCACCCTAAGTCATGTCTCTTTCCATCACCACTTAACCCTCTCTTTACCCTCCCCTAGCTCCCCCACCCCCCTTTCACTTTGGTAATTACCATACTGTTGCCCTATTAACTTTGTTTTGTTTGTTGTTGTTGTTGTTGTTGTTGTTTGCTTAATCCCTACATCTTTTTCACCCAGCTTCCCTCCTCCCCTCAGACAGCTGTCAGTCTGTTCTCTATCTACCAATTTATTTCTATTTTGTTTGTTAGTTTATTTTGTTCATTAGATTTCACATATAAATGAAATCATATGGTACTTACCTTTCTCTGAACGGCTTATTTCACGTAGTATAATACTCTCCACATTCATCCATGCTGTCACAAAGGGTAAGATTTCCTTTTTTATGACCAAGTAGTATTCCATTGTGTAAATGTACCACAGCTTTTTTTTTTAAAAAAAATTGATTTTAGAGAGAGGTGAAGGGAGAGGGTTAGAAACATCCATGAGAGAGAAACATCAATCGACTGCCTCTTGGGGGATCAAGCCCACAACCCGGCCATGTGCCCTGAGTATGCCCTGACTTGGAATCAAACCAGTGACCTCCTGGTTCATAGGTCCTTGCTCAGTCACTGAGCCACCCCAGCTGGGCCACAGCTTTTTTATCCACTCATTTACTGATAGACACTTGGGCTGCTTCCAAATCTTAGCTATTGTGACTAACACTGCAATGAACATAGGGGTGCATATATTCTTTCAAATTCATGTTTTGGGTTTCTTTGGATATATTCCCAGAAGTGGAATCACTGGGTCATAAGGCAGTTTCATTTTTAATCTTTTGAGGTAACTCCATACCACTTTCCGCAGTGGTTGCACCAGTCTGCACTCCCACCAACAGTGCATGAGGGTTCCCTTTTCTCCACATCCTCTCCAACACTTGTTTTGTTTATCTTTGTTTTTTTCTTCTTGTTTTTTAATGTTTTTATTGATTTCAGAGAGAGGAAGGGAGAGGGAGATTGAGATAGAAACATCAGTGATGAGTGTCATTGATCAGCTGCGTCCTGCACACCCCCTACTGGGGATCAAGCCCAAAACCCCGGCATGTGCCCTGACTGGGAATCAAATTGTGACCTGAGTCATAGATTGATGCCCAACCACTGAGCCACGGGCTGGGCAACACTTGTTTGTTGATTTATTGGTGGTAGCCATTCTAACAGGTATAAGGTGATACCTCATTGTGGTTTTAATTTGCATTTCTCTAATGATTTGTGATGTTGAGCATCTTTTCTTGTGTCTATTGTCCATCTGTATATCTTCTTTGGAGAAGTGTCTGTTCATGTCCTTTGCCCATTTTTTAATTGGATTTTTTGTTTTTTGTGTGTCAAGGTTTATAAGTTCTTTATAAATTGGACATTAACCCCTTATCAGATGTATCATTTGGCAAATATGTTCTCCCATTCAGTGGGTTGTCTTTTAATTTTGTTGATGGTTTCCTTTGCTGTGCAAGAACCTTTTAGTTTGGCCCTGGCTGGTGTGGTTCAGTTGTTGGAGCATAGGCCTATGTCCCAAAAGGTGGTGGGTTCGATTTCCATCAGGGTACGATGGGGCAACCAATTGATGTTTCTCTCTCACATTGATGTTTCTCCTTCACCCTCTCTCTCCCTCTCTAAAAAGATCAATAAAATGTATTAAAACATTTTAGTTTGATTGTCATCCCGTTTACTTTTTCTTTTGCTTCCCTTGTAGTATCTTAGCCAGAGGAATGCTGGTTCCACTTGAATGAATGAGCTTTCATCAAAATTGGACTGTCTTTTCTTAGGATGAGCCTAGTTTTTTGTACTGTAGAGACAGTACAAAATGGGGAAGACAAGTAACTTATGCTTTTCAGTGATGGATTTCTTTTATGCAAGGTATTGACCATGACTTCAAATTTTTGTAAGGCACCTAATTTACTAGGAGGCAACCAATTGCTTATGATTGAAGGCGATCATTTCACTGGTGAGCCTACAGTCTTTTTGAGTCATCTTCCTCCTTTTTTAAAAATTTTCTGTTTAATGATCCTACCTATCTCATTGTGCTCAGTGTTCCTTTTTTAGTATCACCAGTGCTAAAATGCCATAATTACAATCTTCTAAAGTGCCCATCTCCTCTGCTTTACAAAGTAGTGCCTACCTGTTAGATTGGAATTGGGTTTAGTGCTTCCTCTGGCTTTTGAGAGAGAAAATACCAACAGAATATTTCTAAAAGTTATTAGATTCATTGCTTTTAGCTGAATGAGACTTTCCAATATTGTCTGGGCTATATATATATCCCTAAATCTATCTGTTATATAGCTGTCATTTTTCTTGCCTATGCCTTTCCAGTACTTTCAAAATTATTATTAATTCTTGTGGAAATTTATTCATATATTTTCAGTGCCTACCACAGAGACTCAAGTATAGTTGATATACAATATTTTACATTGATCAATATATTTCTTAAATTGTGTGACCAATAAAGGATTGGAGGGATCCAGAAGATGTTTGATGCATGTTCTTGATGGAAACGCAAGATTAACACACGAAAGAACTATAGAATAGTCTCCTGTGGTACAGATAAAATAGTGTAAACATTCAGATATAGAAAAATCATTATCAGTTATGGTAATGAAATGATCCTTGTGGAGAAAGTAAAGTTTAAATTTGATCCTCAAGGGTGGGTGAAATTTTGACTAAATAGTGACTTTATTATTTGGGCAAATTTAGACTCTTTATGCTGAGTGAGGAACGGAAAAGGAAGTTAAGTTAAAGAAAAGATAATACTTTATATTTTGCCTGCTTTAAAACATCTCCTGGGAACATGCTTACCATTATCTGGCTCTCCACTTAATTTGGGTAGTTGTAAAAATGCCCATTGATGTTTTAAGCCGTTGTGGTACTTTGGCTAAAAGGAAGCAAGATAGGGGTGTTAATCAGGGAAAGCAGACCTTCTGTCAAAAATTAAAATTACACTTTCTGGTTTTCAAACAAGAAAGTTAGGGGTGACCTCCAGAATATATATGCCTGTTTGTTGTTTTAAAATCTTGGT